TGTTCGCGATACAACATACAAAACGAAAATCATCAGCAAATTTTGCGCAAATTACTGATTTTTACTGGTTCTCCTACATTGCTGTAGTTAATTTTAGAAAAATGTATGACATAACCGTAAACACCGAACATAGGTAACTATTTATGATCCCCAAATACAGGTACGAAAATCAAAACAGTTGTCATGGGAACCATGTATAGCCTAAACCTCTATTAACAAGCACTCACTCAAGGAAAACCCCAAATGTTCTGACGAGACAGGTTGTCTTGTATATATAGGAACTCCCATCAATATTAACTGCGGACTCAAGCCAATTTTTTTTATCAGCATTTTGTTTAAATGTAACAATCGGATTAAATTCTATAATATATAAAATGTAGTATAATGTAAAGCTCCTTCAAGCCTTTTACAGATTAGCCGTTCTGTTCTTATAGAGGTGTTCCGCCTGTGAACACATGCTTGACTCTACCTCTTTGATTCTTGTTCGATGCGTGGTTCTGTTGGCCGGCCTATCTCCGCCCTCGACGGCCTGATGCCTTCTGCAGCTTCTTCATTCTTGTCCTGCTGGCTGGTCACCTTCCCCTAGGCGGCTCCTCCACCATCTTCGCTTCGACCGCGATCCACGCGATTGTTCTACAGATTACACAAACGAACGGATATTTCAGCAGTTACTGCACGCAGGCACGCCACGCTACGACACGCACCACACGCACGCTACGCACGCACGCCACGCACGCACACACACCACATTCACTTGTTTTATATTAGGCTAACCATTTCCAACACGACGTTAAGCAATATTCGGTATATATTTTTTTGCAAAGGACGACACTTGACGGTTAATCGATTAACAAGATGATGCTAGGACAATCCATGCTAGATAGGTTACGTAACCTCAGCATAGTCTCTGTGAGTTGTGCATAGAGCAAAGCATCCTTGGAAGCTTGTTTTTCTTCTCTCAGAGAGCTCCTTCACTCTGCCCTCCTGCCAACATCACCAGCAGTGTTACTCTACAACAGTCTCACAGAGACTCCGAAACGTATGGCCAGCAGGCTACAGCCGTGATTTTGCACGGTCAGTTTTTGAAACTGCACGGCCCCAAATTTTTTTTTAAACCTTTAAATTTAAAAATTTTGTAATTAATTTTTCAGGGGAGGCCCCGTACCCCCCCCCCCCCTGGAGGCCCCTCTCATAGCCTGCCCCCCCCGTGAACGGACCTACGGCGGCCGGTTGGCTTGACGATACAAAAAATTGCCACTCCCAAATATTTTTTCGGCACCTCCCACAATACATCATTTGTGGCTTAATAACCCTGTTCCGACCGTGGCAGGATAGATGGACAGCCACCAGCAACATTACCCTACTATAACCTCACAGAAACTCATGGGTGGCCAGCAAGCGTAAGATGACAGTGTAGGCAGATGTAGAGGCAGATGCAGATGTAAGCACTAGCACTCGTGCCAGACCTGATCAAACCGCATGGAACTATCTAGTGAAATCACAGTTCGCTTTCCCCATCAATGATTCTTGGGCTCAATCGGCAGAGCATCAGCGCCATAATACAAATTTATTGTTTGTTTGCCTCACCCGACCGACCCACCAAAATAGGGGCCTGGGCTCAAAAATTTTTTATTCTTTCTTACAAATTGAATCACTGTACATTATATAAATCGTTTAGGCACTACATTATAAGTTACCAGCAAAACAAAAACATTCAACATAAAAGGTTTATCTCCACACAAGCACACCCGCAGCATGCTAGACACCATGCCTGGAATTTGTAAAATAGACCCCCCTCAAAAAAAGCCTTACCTACCTACCCAAACTTTTTTTAATTGTGGCCTAGGGCTGACCTACCTGCTTTTTGGCTTTACCGGCACGGGTCTTGTTTTACAAAGCAAGGCTATTGCTTCACTCCAACACCTGACTGTTAGCGATGGAGGGAATTGCGTTAGTTACTATAGCCGACTTCGACCAATACTTTAATTAAGAAAAATTTAGCCCGTAGGACGGTTTTCAACTGTACACGTGGTGTTGCCGAACAGTACTACGTGGGTGTGCAAACACGTCAGTAGCTGTGGACGCTTTCCAACAGTACACGCTGTGTGCGAAACACTGCGTATTTAGCTGTTCGCGACGCGTTCAACACTACACGTTGTGTTCGAACACTACAGCGTGGTGAAGGAACACGCTATTAGCTCGTTGGACCGTTCAACACTACAACACTGTGTTTTCGAACAACTACCACGTGTGTTGCAAACACGCTATTAGCTGTTGGACGCGTTCAACAGTACACGTTGTATGCGAACACTACTCACGGTGTGTTTTGAACACGCGATTAGCTGTCAATACGTGACCACGATCGACGCTCAGCGCACCCACTAGCGGAACCTTCCTGACGACCTGGGAGAACGGCCGGCGCCGCAGCGTGCTTCTGTGCGTGCAGCTCCTGGCAGTTTCCGTGCAGGGCCTTCACCTTGTCGTCCTGCGTCTGCAGAAGGTTCTCAAACGCGACGTGACGCTTCAGCAGTCCCTCGACTTCCTGCACCGTCGTAGGGATCTCCGCCGAGCTCAGATACGCCTGCGGGGCAGACAGACGACAGACGATGTGTCAGCGAAAACATCTAGTAGACGTCTAAGCAGGAATCTAGCCGTCAGCCGCGGAGCTCAGATACGCCTGCGCGGGGCAAGAACAGACCGACAACGAATGTGAGGAAAACACGCAGACATTCTAAGCAGGAATCTAACCGTCAGGAGCTCAGATAGCCTGCGGGGCAGACAGACGCACAACGATGTGAGTGAAACACAGCGACATCTAAGCAGGAATCTACCGATCAGGAGTTCAGATACGCCTGCGGGGCAGACGACAACATGTGAGGAAAACACACAGCAGACATCTAAGGCAGCGAATCTACCGTCAGGAGCTTCAGAATACGCCTGGCTCCGGGGCAGACAGGACGACGATGTGAGGAAACACAGCAGACGTTAAGCAGGAACTCTTACCGTTTCAGGAGCTCAAGCATACGCCTGCCAGGGTAGACGACAACGATTGTGAGGAAAACAGCAGCAGACGTCTAAGCAGGAGATCTACCGCTCAGGAGCTTCAGATACGCCTGCGGCGGCAGACAGATGACAACGGTATGTGTATGGGAAAAAACACAGCGACGTCTAAGCAGGAAAGTACCGTCAGAAGCTCAGATAGCCTGCGGGACAGGACAGACGACAACGATGAGGAAAAACACATGCAGACGTCTAAGCAGGAATCTACCGTCCAGGGGAGCTCAGATATCGGCCTGCGGGAAGGGCGCCGGGGACCGTGCGCCCGCGCGCCAGTCACCGGCGGGCCGCGCCTAAGCGGAGCGGTAATGTTGCTGGTGCTGTCATCTATCTTGCTGCCACACTGAGTTTCTGTGAGGTTATAGTAGGGTAACGTTGCTGGTGCTGTCATCTATCTTGCTGCCACACTGAGTTTCTGTGAGGTTATAGTAGGGTAATGTTGCTGGTGCTGTCATCTATCTTGCTGCCTCACCGAGTTTCTGTGAGGTTATAGTAAGGGTGACGCTGCTGGTGCTGTCAGCTATCTTGCTGGAATTGGTACGGAGGCCTCCCCTGGAAAATTCATTACAAATTTTAAATTTTAAAGTTTAAAAAAAATTTTGGCCGTGCAGTTTCAAAACTGACCGTGCAAATCACGGCTGCACGGCTCGCAGGCTAATACGTTTCGGAGTCTCTGTGAGACTGTTGTAGAGTAACACTGTTGGTGATGTTGCAGGAGGGGCAGAGTGAAGGAGCTCTCTGATGAGAAGAAAAACAAGCTTCAGGATGCTTTGCTCTATGCACAACTCAACAGAGACTATGCTGAGGTACGTAAGCCTATCTAGCATGAAGCCTACCATCAATCTTTTAATCGATTAACCGTCAAAGTGTTGTCCTTCCAAAAATATAACCGAATAATCTTAACGTCGTGTTGGAAATGGTTAGCCTATTATAAACAAGTGGAATGTGTGTGTGTGTGCGTGCGTGCGTGCGTGCGTGCATGCGTGCCTGCGAGCATGCTTGCGTGCATGCCTTGTGCAGTAACTGCTGTAAAAATATCCCGTTCGTTTGTGTAACTGTAGACATCGGCGTGGATCGCGTCGAAGCAGAAGATGGTGGAGGAGCCGTTAGGTGAGGTGACCAGCCTGCAGGACAAGATGAAGAAGCTGCAGAAACATCAGGCCGTCGAGGCGGAGATAGCCGCCAACGAACCACGCATCGACAAGATCAAAGAGGTAGAGTCAAGCATGTGTCATCAGCGAAGACACCTCTATAGAACAGACGCTTATCTGTAAAGGCTTGAGGACTTTACATTTATACATTTTATATATTTATACAATTATAGATTTTTATCACATTTAAAACAAAATCTGATAAAAAAAAATTTGGCTTGAGTCGCAGTTATTTGATGGGAGTGCCTATAATACAGACAACTGTCTCGTCAGAACATTTGGGGTTTTCCTTGACTGATGCTTGTATACAGGTTAGGCTATACATGGTTGCCATGACAACTGTTTGATTTTCGTACTCTGTATTTGGTGATCATAATATAGTTACCTATTTTAGTGTTTAAGGTTATGTCAATCATTTTTACTAAAATTAACTACAGGCACGTAGGAAAACCAGTAAAAATCCAGTAATTGCCAATTTGCTAATGATTTTCGTTTGTAGTTGTATCGTGACATGGCAAAATCTATCATTCGATTGCTTCGATTCGTTGTAGGCTGGTGAGACACTGGTTGCCAAGAAACATCCAGAGTCGGAAAAGGTGAAGACGCAGACGAACAACCTGCTCGGACAGTGGCGCGACCTGCGGGAGTCGGCAGACAACCGCGCTAAAGTCCTCGAGGAAGCGAGAGACATCCTAGAGTTCAACAGCCAGGTGGAGAAGGTTGAGGCGTGGATGCGCGATAAGGTGCGTGAGTTATTGTAATTAATTAATTAGTAATTAATAATATGTAAATGTAGCCTTTTTTAATCCGAGTAGCATGGCAGTTGACAGCATTGTATTGATTGATTGCCTAAGTACGCTTACTGTTTTAGGTGTGACACTGTCTTGCAAGGACAATGTCGCCACGATATTTGAATCGTATCAGCTAAGCTAAGCTATCAGCAGTGGGCATGCATTAATATGTATCAGTTTTTGGAAATAATAAACATGTGGACCTCCATGATTTTATGTTTTATGTTGTTTATGTTATATGTTTATCTGTTGTTGTCGTGCGCAGACGGTGATGATTCAGGCAGGAGACACGGGGCGGGATTACGAACACTGCCTGGAATTGCAGAAAAAGTTGGATGACAAGGACTCTGTAAGTGTCTCCATGTAGGAGAGGGTATATAGCAGGCATTGTAGGGAATCGCATCATGAAAATCCCGGCTGAACATAGATTTATGCAGCTGATTGTAATTTTTTCTTGACAAGAATTTTGATTTTAACTGTAATTTAGTAGTTTTTTTTTAGCACTGCATTATAATTCGTTACAATTGAGGAGTACTGACTTTTTGGCAGTCAGTATTACTAGGAATATATCTTTCTAGTATTATGTCGCTACCTACCTATACGCAGTTGCCTAAATTTGGCAACATTGTATTTTTGCAGCTTTAGTCATTTCAAATAATTAATTTTTTATAATTTATATAATTAATATATTATTTATATAATTAATATCAATATATAATTTTATATTTACACGCCGCCCTTGGTGTCTATTCGCAGGCCGTGCATGTTAATGCTGACACGATAAAGGCAGTTAACAAGCTGGGAGACAGGCTGGTGCACCAAGGCCGCTCGGACACGCGTGAGGTGCAGGCCAAGCAGCAGCAGCTTAACAACAAGTAAGTAACATGCTGCAACTATAGTTCAGTTAAATATAGAGTTAATTATGCTTAGTACTTCTTGTGGCGTTATGTGTACCCAGTTATTGGTGTGTTATGTAGATATATATCAGGAGTTAATGAAGACAAAATGAGATGTTTGTCTTCATGAACTCCTGATATATATGTATATATTATTATGTATTTATTTATTTATTTAATTATTTATTTATATACCTAAGCCTTCTTGTGACAATGGCATTCTCTCAGTGACTATGCAACAATGAGAACAAATTGTTTGTGATTACATTAATTTTAATATTTAGATAGGAACATGCTGATAACAAGGTATCATCTACCCTTCCGTCTGTATCGTAAAATGCTTTGTCTTTTGTGGTAAAGTTTTTAGGTAGTTAGTAGTCCTAATACTGTTGGCAGCTACTGTTCAGTAATTTATGATCTTCTCGATTTAATTTCTTTATCAGGTCATGTTGACTTCGAACAGATTAGCAGCAGTAGAATGTGCTCTAACACGTAGAAAATACTTCAATAGTGGCTTTTGTTGTTTGGATGCCATGTATTTTGACAGCATGGTTTTTGTTGCTGCAGATGGGATGCCTTGCAGGGAGCGTTGGAATCACACAAGGCACAGCTTGCTGGTGCGCTAGAGGTCCACGCATTCATTCGTGATTGCAACGAAGTGAAATACAGAATTAATGAAAAGGTGCAGGGCGCAACATTATTACCTCCGCCAAGGGGTTGGCAGGAGGTTATGTTTTCACCA